TTTGATTCTATCTACTTTTATATATATTATCTCACTTAATCCATAACAAGGTCTCTATTGGAAGGAAGCAGTATTATATTACCATCTTATAAATGAGTAAACAGGCTCAAGAAAGTAAACCAACATGCTCAAGGTCAGACACTTGGTAAGCAGCAGGATATATTAAATTCTAGAGTGCTCATCTATTCTACCACACTACACTGGTATTGCCAAAACTGTTTGCTCAGTCAATGTATAAAGTTTAAATTTTTGGAAGAAATGCTCCCATAGGAAGCAAGATGAGAAAGATTTAAAGGTGGTTGGAAAAGGAGATCCTAAAACATTCTTTTGGAACTGATAGCAATAAGTAACAATTCCTTTGTTGTGAGAAAATCTCCCTTTTGTGCCAAAAAAAGTCATTTCCTTTTAAAAAAGCATAAATGGTATTTTGACAATAAAGTTCCATGAAGAGATTGACAAATGGCCCTTTGTAATTCCTGGGAATCTTATTTAAAAAGAGGATACAACTTAATATAATACATAATGTATCCACTAAAAACACTATGCAAATTAATAAATTAATCCAGTCAAGTTGAAGGATACAAATTYGACATACAAAAATCAATTGTATTTCTATACACTAAAAACAAACTATTCAAAAAACAAATAAAAATTTCCCTTTTATAATAGTTACTAAAAAAAAAAAAAAGCTAGGAATAAATTTAACCAAGGAGTTGAATTGTGTATACACTGAAAACCAAAACACCAAAGAAAGAAATTGAGCAAGAGAGAAATAAATGAAACAATATCCCATGTTTATGGATTGAAAGAATTAATATCATTAAAATGTCCATACTACCTAAAGTGATCTTCAATCTAATTTCTGTCCAATGATATTTTTACAGAAATAAAAGGAAAAAGTGTTGGCAAGAATAGAGAGAAGAAGGAACACTTGTACTATTTGCTATTTAACCCTGAATGGCCAAAGCAGTCTTAATCCAAAATCAACAATGGAGACATAACTCTATCTTCAAAATCTACTACAAACCTATGGTAATCATGCCAGCATGGGATTTGCATAAAGACAGAACAAAGATACAGAATAGAGAATTCAGAAATTCATCTAGGCCTTATAGTCAATTGATATTTGATAAAGTTGCCAAGAACACACACTGGGGAAAGGAGAGTCTCTTTAATAAATGGTGTCTGGACAACTGGATATCTGTAGGCAGAAGAATGAAATTCGACCCTCATCTCACACTCTTCACAAAAATCAACTCACACCATACACAAAAGTTAGGACCTAAAATGTAGGTCCTGAAACTATAAAAATACTAGAAGAAAACATTGAGAAATGCTTTACAACCTTGATCTGAACAATGCTTTTTGGATATGACCCCCAAAGCAAAGGCAAAAAAGCAAAAACATAAAACACGGGATTACCTCAAATGAAAAAGTTTTTATACTGTAAAAGAAACAATCAATATCTGGGTGCTGTAGTGTACACCTGTAATCCCAGTGGCTCAGGTGGCTGAGGCAGGAGGATAGTGAGTTCAAAGCCAGCCTCAGCAAAAGTGAGGTGCTAAGCAACTGAGACCCTGTCTCTAAATAAAATATAAAATAGAGCTGGGGATATGGCTCAGTTGTCAAGTGCCTCTGAGGTCAATCCCTGGTCCCCCCAGCCCAAAAAAAGAAACAATCACCAAAACCAGGCACAGTGGTGCACACCTAAATCCCAGTGAGTCAGGAGACCTGGGACCCTTTATGAAAAAAATAAAAAAATAAAAAGGGCTAGGATGTGGTTCAGTGGCTAAATACCCCTGGGTTCAATCTCTGTATCAAAAAAATAAAATAAATAAAATAAAAATTGACAAGTGGTTTGAATATATACTTCTCAAAAGAAGATGAGTAAATGGCCAACAGGTATATGAAAAAATTCTCAATATCATGAGTTCATCAGGGAAATGCAATCAAAACTGCTATGAGTGTCACCTCAAGTCTGTTAGAATGGTTGCTATTATAGAAGAGACAAAAGATAAGTGTCAGCAGCAATGTATAGAAAAGAGAACTCCCATACTGTTGGTGACGATGTAAAGTGGTCTAACTATTTAAAAACAATATGGGGGTTCCTCAAAAAAATTAAAAGTAGAACTATCATATGCTTCAACAAGCCCACTCCTGGGATTACATCTAAAGGAAAATGAAATCAGCGATTTGAAGAAACATCTGCATGCCCATGTTTATTACAGCATCATTTATACTGGCAGATATGTGATTCATCTAAGTGTCTATCAATAGATTAATAGATAAAGAAAATACATATACACATGGAATGCTGCTGATTATAGAGAAGAGATTCTTTCTAATGAAGTTTAGTAATGTGGAATTGGCTTAAGAATTAGATACACTGCCTTTTAAATTTATAAAGGGTATCTGATTAATAAAAAATATATAATGCAGAAGAGACTAAATTTTGAATTACATTAAAAGCCAAATTACATACTATTATATAATTTTTAATAATGAATTGTGAAAAATTATAAATCAAAGGCTAATCAAAGGCTAATTTTCATGAGGAAAATTGGAGAAGAAAAAGTTATTTCATGACAAATCATTGGAAAAAAAGGTATTTTTCTTCTTTTTCTTCTATATTTTCTGAAATTATCTGGCTCTTTTCCAAACATGTAAATTCACTTTAATTTTACATAATTTATCTTAAAATAAGGTTACATTTATTTGATTCCTGATGTTTTCTAGTGAACTCTTAAGAGGAAATAATAAAGTACTGAAGCAACATAGAATACTGAAAAGAGTTTTGGGCTGGAAGAAAAGAGATGTGATCTAGTCCTGGTTTACCATGAGTGTAAACTTAGGTGCCATTTAACTTCCCCGAAGCTAAGTTTTCTGGTGGGTAAAACTGATGTCAGCATCTGCTCTTCTCAAACAATTGCTTTGTGCAAAATTCCTTATCCACCCAGCACTTGCTCGAGCTCACTGGTCTCTTCTTATGGAGATATGAATACAAATACAGAAACCTAATGCAAATAGAAATTTGAGATGAAGTTCTGGAATACTTCTGGAAGAAGAAATCAAAGAACAAATAGGAGTTACTGAAGAGAATGCAAGAAAAAAAGGAGAGCATTCCAGGCAGAGAACACTGCGCTTTACAAAGCCACTGAGCCTGTGACAAGGAAGGTGTGAGGGCATGAAGTCATTCACTGRCTGAAACAGGGCAACATTAAAGGTGAGGCTGGAAAAGTAGGCAGAATCCATATACTAGATAGTACCCATAGGTACTATGCTATGCATTTGCATTTTAACTTCAGAGCAGTGAGTAGTGGTGAGGGACTATGAAGGATTATGAAAAGTGGAATTATGACTTCAAAAACTCATTCTGAAGGCAACATACATGATGGATCAGAGGCTGGAAAACTACTCAGAATCCATGGTATTAGCTCAGGTGAGAAAATGGAAAGGCCTAACTACGTAAGACAGAGACAGCAAGGATGGAGAAGAAAAAAAAAAAATCCTGAGAGGTGGAATAGAGGCAAACCAGGCAAAGTTTRGTGTTTGGTTTAAGAGAAGGTGATATCAGAGTGAAACAAAGGTTTCTGACTTGCCTGGATAGATGATGCACTTCTTATCTAAAAGAGCTAGACAAGTTCAATTTTAAATATGTTGAGCTCATTGGGCCTATAGGGTATCCAAGTAGTGGTGCACAGAAGACAACTAGATAGATGAAATGTATTTGACAGTGCTATGAACTATTTAAAAAGGTATAATATTATTTGAGTTCAATTCTAGATGAACCCTTGCAAGGCCATTGGGGAAATTACTATGGTATAAATGATCTATTCAACATACTCTAAGGACTTCCAAGAGTAAAGACATATCTCATTTCTTTTCTGAATTTGCTTACTTAACAGAAATTATTTAATTCCTACAATATAATTCCTATTGTGAGCTATCTCTAATGGTTTGTAGCTTCTTGTCCATATCCATGTGGTTGGCATCTGGACTAGATTAAAAAGAGCTACCATGCATTTAGGCACAGAGGACAGAATTCTGCAACCCTTCTTCCATTCCAGCCTCACTGCCTATCACATTTTCCTATATGCATTTTTACTTTCAGCTGCCATGGGGTCATCAAGTCTTAGCTTAAATCAAATGTCCTCTGGCTCCAAGTCCCATGATGAAAAAAAATTTATGGAGTCCTGGACACATTACAAGTTTTACAGCTTTACAGCTGAAATCCTTCAGGTCCTCCTGACCTACTGAAGCAAAAAATATGTTTTATTTTATTGTGATTCCCAAACGTTCTCCCAGTGTGTGCATTTTTTCCAACAGAATGTGTATGTTGCTTCCAGCAATGTGTTTTATATTACCTTGAAGAGTAGGGAAGCTCTGATAGAAGGAAACAAGTTAGTCTTATTGCCAGGAAAAGAGAAAACAGAACTTGCCATTGCAAGCATGATTAGTGGACCAAACCTATGTCTGGGATAATCTGTTTGTATTTTAYTTTTACCGAGGATACATACTCTATGAGGCAATGACTCTATCCTAATTGTTTAGAAAGTTTATATCCCCCGACCAATGATACCCTGGATTCTTAGGTGGGGTCATTTTAATCAATAACATATATTTATATATATTGTTGATATATATCAATATATATATATACATATATATATATAAAACAATATATATAAATATATGTTTATAAATACATACATACACACATATACATAGTGACATATACACACATATATGTGTGAGTRTATGTGTATGTATATTGTGTATGTATGTATATATGTATGTGCATGTATATACAAATAAAGGTATTCCTAAAAATAATATATTCTTATTAAGTCTAAGATGTAGACTGCTCAATAACTTTGAATTAAATATTTCCTGGATAACAAATAGCCTTTTCAAATATATATCAAAACTTAATGTGTACTTTCTCTTTGGGAGATAGTAAGTACCATCAGCCTGAAAATAAGATACCTAAGTGGGCTCACCTTGACGATGAAATCTGCTGTCAGTGGTCCAGCCATTCTCAGAATCTCTTTGTCTGGAAATTTCTGGAAGTCCACAGTAGAATTGTCCACGAGAAATGTGCCTGTAGAGCTAAGGCTGTTTTCACCTTTAGCCCCTTGGAGGGTTTTGGTTTCCAAATCTATGTAATCAGACACATGAAGAGGAGAGAGAGATGTTCCCGGGKCTACCACAGACCACATGTAAGCACAGTTCATGTAACAAAGTTTTGAGATATGGAAATTGTGTTATAAATAAAATATATAGGCATTTCTGGATCACATAGGAATTTATGCTACAAATAAAATTATTTTAAAACTCATTAGCCAAGCATTCATGGCTCCTGTCACAAAAAAAGTTTGATTTGCCCAGATGACCTCCTGTGGAAACAYCAATCTACAGCAACCCTTTTTCTTTGATTAAACCATCTCCCATACACACCTTAGTGATTTCTGTTTGGATGGCCCTCAGCTTGGGCTATCCTTCACTTTTCTTTTTTGTCCTATGAGATCCCAGGCGCATCTCAGAGTTGCCTCAGCATCCGTGAGGCTTTATATTTAGGCATTAACTTGAGTTTTTAAATTTTTTTCTGGTTGCTAATTCATATATGCTATTGCTCAGGGTGAAGAAACTATAGTGACCAGGTGCAGTGGCRCACACCTGTAATCCCAGCAGCTCTGGAGGCGGAGGCAGGAGGATCATAAGTTCAAAGCCAGCTTTCGCAATTTAGTGAGGCCCTAAGCAACTTAGCAAGACCCTGTGTCAAAAATTTAAATAAATAAATAAATAAAAAGGGCTGGGGATGTGTTTCAGTAGYTAAGCAGGTTCAATCCCTGGTACCAAAAACCAAAACTGTAGTGGCTTAAAGACAGGGGCTATTCTTTTTTACCTTTTCTCTTTAAAAAATCAAGTTTGATAACTAATTCAATGTTATACACATATGTAGTATTTTATAAGTACTTGATACAAAAAGAAAACTTGCTTCCTGCAGCATTTAAATCTGAATTTTGCCAATGACAGAGTCTATGAAACATCATTTGTTGCAGGAAATCAGAGCATGCTGGGATGATATGGCTTATGATGTGTATGCCAGAGAAGACTATGTTCTCCTGTGACTGACAGGGGATCTAGAGAAATTGTCTGGGAGATGAAGAAAAATAGGATTAAGTCTAAGGGTTTCTAAAACTTGCACAAAACCTTTGGTCTTGGCAGTGCCTGCTCATCAGAAAGACAGAAGGCTTGTGTGGTGCTCCAAGCTTCCTACCACAGCTTCAGTTAGGAGGGCTGTATTCTTATCTGTTTAATGATTGGGGTTGTGTGTTAAAAACAATTTTAAGGTCTCTGGAGGTACTCAAGTACCTAAAGTCTTTGSTACTTTATTATTTGAGACTCAGACTACCTCAAGTTCTCTACTCTAAGGAATACCAAAGATGGAAAATGTTGGTATTCAACTAAATGCACAGTGACCGYCTGATGAAGTCTGTGGAGCCCTTCTCATGGGACATGTCAGGCTTTACCATTCTGCCCCAGGATGGAGAGAACCCCACAGGACACAGGGCCCCACAGGAGAACCTCAARGGGACGCTGGATTCGGGAATCATATTTATCATCAAAAGAGGAAAGCCGCAGTGCTGAATCTCCTTCCTCCAGCCTTTATTCCTCAAGCTGCCTTACGTGCAGTTGCAGAAATAGCTCCAGAACATGAATTAACAGAGTTTTGGAAAAATCCTGGAGGTCTAGGCCTGGATCTGAACATCTGATTCAATTTTATGAAGAGGTCTCCCAGCTGTTCTTCTCGATGTACTTTTGATTAAAGATGAGCTGGGGCTGGACAAGATCACCTAGTCTTCTTCTGATCTAGCACTCAATATTTAAGTTAGTCCCATATTGAACCAGCTTCTGGGAATAAAGGGCAAAAGGGCTGCAGGASAAACAGGGAATCACTTCCACATTCATTCTGCTGAAATACATGCCAAATGCAAAACAACAACAGCAACAAAACAAAACAAAACAAAACACCAGCTACATTTGCCAACAGTATGCGTGTTGGGTGGAAAAAAAAAAACAGACCACATATTGCTTTTCAGCATTTATGAATACTATTTCAGTCTTTACCTATAATCTGCAAATCAATTAAACCAAATAAGGACAATTCTTCAATTTCTTGGTGATTATGTAATCAGGAAACTTGGGAGACTAATATATTTATAAAAATCAATTTTCCTTTTAAATCTTTTTCTGCAATGAGGAGTCATTCCTCCACTTAATAGTAATCTCAGACTGAATATTTTATTTCTGTCTCTGTTACTGCTGACAAAAATACTGTTTCTGAGTGGGGTTGTTACACCATCAGTTAGCTCTTTCCAGTTCTCAAGGGGAAAAACAAATCATTTGATCAGTAATACTATACATGCATATATTAACTTTGTCATGTGAATGCTTTTATAAGATTGTTCAGAAATAGAAAATAATTTGGATCAATATAAGGTGACTTATCAGTGCTTTTTCATTTTGCCTAAACTGTACCTCACTTATTCTTTTGTTTCACAGGACCCTTCATATCCTATCTTTTTGATGAAAAATATTTATTTTTATTTTTGAAGACTAGAGTATGCTATATTAACTTTCACAGGTTCTGATTCTCTTCCTCTTGTTGATCTTTCTAGCATGGTTTCATTATAATCTAATTACTAAAAAAATAATACTTGCTATTTAAATTGGTTTCATAGACRTGTGGGAGAGGAGAAGGAGAGAAGATAAGGGATGTCTTTGTGKGAATCCAGGAACAATTAGATTAGAGATTAGAGGGCTCAAGGGACCAAGTGAGGTGAAAGCCTTCAAATGAAATCAAATTTCTTAGAAAATGTTAGCATAATCTCTTCCACCTTCACCTTTGTTTATAGCCTATAAATTTCTGCTTGTAATTTACAGATGTACATCTAAAACGAACTAAGCAGTAATAAAAAAATAATCTGACTGTGCATTGCTGCCCTGGCATGACTAGAGATCAATTTTTGCACAAACCTTGGAGGGCTAAAGCTATCACTTGGATCCTTGGGTTTCTAATTACCTTCTAATCCTGAATTCTAATATATAAGGGCCCTGGTTTAATACATAGGAGATTTCAGTTTGTTTGATAGTTTTGTGTTTATCTGGATTGAGTAAGTAATGGAATATGAGATTAGGGGGAAAAATGAAGGAGAGAAAGGAAGGGTTGGAAAGAGGAAGAAGAAAGGAGTGGTGAGATAAAAAAAAAAAAAGATTGAGATGGATTAAAGAGAAAGAAGAGCATAAGCATGTGCCTAACCCCCAMGAACATCTCATCAGGACCATCTATTTGCATTTTTCAGGATGACTGTGGCTATCAGTAATTAYCATAGAGGTTTCTGCCATCTCATCAGGCAGCCAAAAGAGAGACAAAATATCATATTCTGATAGAGTGGAGAGATTTGTACTCTTGTGTTTTAATACTTTCTGGAACAAAAATAAATAATAATGGCAAAACCTCCCAATCCCCAAAAGAAAACACTGGGTTTACTTACACAAGTGATCAGGTCCTTTYAGGACAAGGCGAATGTGTCTGCTTCCGTAGGGAATGGCAACCACGGTGTCATCCA